AAAAAAGAGGAAACAGCCAATGTTTCAGCAGAGCTCAGGCTGCACCTAAAGTGAGAGAACTATTTGTTTAATTTCCAAGCTTTTCTGTTTAAATGAATGTTTGACTTCCCCCAGACAGGGAATACAGTAAAAAGTAAAAGCTTTTTTCACAAAAAGCTAAGAAATGGAGCTGCCTGCCTAGTTTATGTAATTCTTTGCAGAGAAGTCATCCTCTAATGTGAATACTAATTTCCCTTGTGAAAAGGAGCAGCAATAATAACCAACAAGTTGAATGTTAGCATATTTGTGACCTAACTGTCAAATGAAAACGTGTGAATTACAGTGCTGCTTTCTCCACTGATGTTTAAAATCTAACATATGCCAGTTTACACAGTGCTTGGAGATGGAGAGCATCTTTTAAAGACATGGATAACATACACCCCCTTCTCTCTCTGGAACAAAAGAAAAAATTAATGTTTGGTTGTAATGCAACAAAAAAATCAATCACAGCTCTTTGATAAAGGTTTGTCTGAGATTCCCTGGAAAATAGGACACTTGAGAATTCTTAACTACAGCAGATACAAATCCAAAATAGCTGCAGCAAATTAGTGCAAAGGAAGGCTGAATTATCTCCATGCAAATCTCAGAACAGCTTGGTTTCAACCAAGAGGCACAACCTTTACCTACAGATGTAAGTAAGTAGTATGGGGCAAACACTCTTCACAATTTTGGTTAAGGGCATATTTCAGGTAACCTAGAGAAAGGAGTGAATATGTGTTATTGGGGACCTTACATTTGATTTCAATAGCTCTAGATAAAATGGTGAGCATGAGCAGCAGAACTGTATTCTCTGCTACACACTCAGGAACAAGGCATGGGGAAGTCTATAGCCTTTAACTGAAAATGCCAGCTGGCATTTCTGCCTTTGTGGAGCTCCCTTTCACAGTACTCCTGCAGGATCTTTATCTTTAAAATACAGAATCTCAAAATAATTTTGAAATTATTACCATGTAGTTTTACTAATGAGGGTCTGAACAGCAGGAGTCTGGTCAGAAATGTGGAGGAGCCCCATTTGTGTTTTTCTTTAGCTTCTTTAATGCTGAACAGTACGTTACATCTCTCAATATGATGATTCAAAAAGAGCAAAGTTAGCTTTTACAAGAGAAATTATTACCACAGCAACTGATGATTTCCTTGCACAACTGGCCATACTAAAAATGTCCTTATCAGTAGCACACATCCAATCCCAATGTGCAAATTAGCACATTAGTTGTTGATTAGCAGCTCAATACCAAATCCTACATCAGGCTGCCAAGTCTCTTTCCTCACATCTAAACTACATCTAGAGCATTCTATGGGATAAATTAGTTGATAGTAACAAAACTAATCATGTAATTGTTCTTGTACACTTTTTAGTGCACATCCTTAATGAAAACAAAGACTAAAAAATATAACAAGGTGCCTTCACTGTTCCTATCAAGTACACAAACATATTACTCCTTCTAGTTTCTTAATTCCTGGCTGCTATGTCATGAGCACTGTCATAAATGGTTTGAAGAACTCCAAGTAGAACTACCATGTTTCCTTTCATTCACACTGCTTTGGGATATTGAAGAATAAAATATTAACTCTTTTTTTTTTTCAAGAAAATTATCTGATTCGAGACTGCAGTAACTAGAGCTCCTTGAAGGCTTTTCCTTCATTTATATTGGCGTGATTTAAGTAGAAATTAGAGAATTTTCTCCACTGCCTGCAGAGCCTCAATTGGTATATGTGTCTCTGGCTAATATTAGCAGTGGTACTGAGCAGCTACAGCAGCTCTCTCAGACACACCATTGATCACTAGCAATGCACAGTAGCTCTGGGCACACCTGCCTGGACTGCAGTATTCCAGGCAGAAAACTCCAATCAATAATAACAATAACAAAGCAAAACTCCAATAAAAAACCTTGAAAAAAAATTAAAAGCCTAAGATTTGCCTGTAGGATGAGGAGATACATTGCTAACAAGAAAGCAGCAGAGGTGTCCCAGACCTGCTTTAGGAAGCTGCACAAGGCCATTGAAGAACACAGATTGCACTGCAGAAACTTTTCACTGCATTACAAAGACAAAAGTCAGATTCACTAGAAAACATAACTTCATGTTGAAGGCAATGCTGCCACTGATGGGTTGAGCAGATGACTGAAAGAAATAAAAATCACCAAACCACAGTTAATTGTTGTATTTAGTTAGCCTACACTAGAAAACTTGTCTTTAAAGGATGTATTCTCTTCTATGAGAAGTTTCTAAATTGAGGTTTTTGAAATTGATCTTTTTAACTGTTACATATTAATTTTGGAATTTATACTGTTTACAAATCAGAAGTCATACATCAAAGCAGAAACTACAGACTTAAAGCACACCTGTGGCCAAGCAATGTCTAGATGCATGAATGCAAGGACTCTTCAAAGTGACAGGAACTTTGATAGGAAAAGTTCACATTCAGAAGCCCTTTGCTTGTTAGGTACTGGAGATACATTAACTTTGCCAACTTTATCAAAACCCTGTGTGTGTTTCTTATGTTCCTTCTGAAATTAATCAAAATCTCTGACAATGTAAACTGCAGTTATCCAGGCTGTTATATGCTCCAACTAGGCAACAGCAATCTGAAAAAAGAAAATACTTTAAACACAACATGAATGGGGTTTGGGGGAATTTGGAAGGTGAGGGCGGTTGGTTGGTTGGGAGTTTTTGTTGTAGATATTTAGGGCAGTTATCTGTCTTGCAGTCTTCCTGGTAGATGACATGCCATCTCCAGAGGTGTATCAGATGTTATTTCTGATGTTTTATTTATCTTTCTCAAAGTATCTTATCTAAAATTGCTACAAAAAATTTACACACAGTAGAGACTGAGCAAAAAGCAGAATTTACCTTTGTTTTAACACAAAGCACTATTTCCATTGACAATCCTCCTTAGGATCTTATATCTACACCTTAAAAAAGGGTGTATTTCTTAAGAGCAGGAGCAAGGAAGGGGGAAAAAGCCCCAAATATCAATTAGATAGTCTGTGTTTGAGCTTCCCTCATACACAACTTGTACCTGCAATCATTATTCCAGACTCCTGCATTGCAGAGTACAAACAATTCATGGTATATCCTTTCTTCCCCTGTGCCCCTGCCCCCTGTCTCTTTCTTCATCCATACAATTATTCATATGCCTGCACTCCCAGGCTGTAATTGTGACAATCCCTGGAATATTTCTCTATTGCTAAGCATCTTCTGTATAAAACTGATGAGAAAAACTGGAGAGTGGATAGTTTAGTAGTAAAGAGAACAACAGGAAATCCAGCATGAGGTTCAGAAATTACTTCCAGAATATGACTAGCTATAGGCTGAAAGATGAGACAAAGAAGAATAGAATACAGACAAAATCTGGCATTTAGAACTTATATAGTTAACTTCCTCTTTGAAACACAGAAGTAGAAGAGGAAGGATTGAAACAGACAAGTACTGCAGCATTAAGCACACAGAAATTCAACTAAACTTCTCTTTGAATACAAATAAATTCCTTGAATAAATAAATATTTCCCACTGTATTGATATATTTGTGGATACTTAGCACATCCTTACAAGGCACTCAAAGTAACAGGGAGCATATGATAGACCTTTCTGAAAATGTTCCAAAACAACCAGGAACACTCTAAGCGTAGGAACAGCTAAATGCCCAAAGACCTTACAGGAGATTACCTGTCCCATTTCAACCTTATTTCACATCCTCCACCTCACTTAGGGCAAGCAGGACTACAGAATTTCACAAGTGATTCCACCACCAGTGAAACTGAAAAAACTGTGAGTTTAAAAGCTGCGTTTTGGCAGTGCAAGGAAATGGAATTTGATTCAATAGTAGTCAAATGCAGTTCATCACAAAAAAAAAAAATCAAACCCTGACTTCACTGACTGCATTCCAGCTTGCTGAAGCTGTTAATTAACCAAAACTCAGTAATGCCCTTTGGGATTAGAATGCTCTGTGTTCCACTTGCTTGGGTGCCAAGTCTTGCAGTAAAATAAGCCATTTCTTATAAGCTGTGCTTAATAGCTCAATCAACATTTGCAGGAGAAATTAACAGCAGGTTCCCAATAATTTAGCTCTCTGAAGATGCTGATTTAGGCTTTGCCAGCCTATATGATTTCCCCACTGATAAACTGTTAACACTGTTTAATCAACAACACCAAGGGCAAATTGAAGTGAAACCAGTGACCAATTCACACACACACTCACTAAATTATTGCTTCTGAAGTGGGCTGTATTAGATAACTACAGTTGAACATAATTTATATACAGACTCAATTATCAACATCCATTTTTAATGGATAAAACATGATTCATATTGAACCCATGGTTCACCTGTGTTGTAACTCACTGATTTACCCTACCACAATCTTGTCACCTCCACAGAAGTGGGATTTTTAGTTACAAGAGAAGCTGATTGAAAAAGCTCTTCTTGAGCTTCTTCCTTCTCTGAGCTGCAAGTTAAAAGGAATATTAAACAACAACAAGGGTTGGGGTTTTTTTGGTTTTTTTTTCTGGTAGAGAGCCACAGGCTCTCAAACCAATCCTCATGCTCAAAATCACAAGGCTACATATTATTCCAGCAGTCACTTGGAAAGGCTTTTCAGCTTGTTCAGAAGGGAAAAGAAAAGAAAGAGTGAAAAGAAAACAAAACAGCACAAGCCCAAAATCCCAAATCTTCAAAATGTTAAACTCAGAAAGGATTTTTCAAGCAAAAGCGGTAAGACTCTGCTTTTACAAACCTGAGTGTAGCAATCTAGTTGCCAAACAAAATGGTCTCTACCTTTCCTTTCACAATAATATTGCTGTCAAGCTTTAATAACAGCATGAAAAAAGAAATACTGGCCAGAACCCTAAGAAGAACCAAGAAAACTTATCTCAAGATAAAAATTAAAAAAAAAAAATCAAAAATTATACACTCAGGGAACAGGCTAAGATCAATTAAAATTACATAACATTTTCACTAACACAGTTTCACTTTTCAAAATGAAAGTCAGATTTATTCAACATTAAGTGCAACAACACATCAGAAATCAATAAAATCAATTTTCACTTATAAAGTAAAGCAAAGTAACATGAATAAACACAGGAAAATACTGTCTGAGACTCTCCAAGCAGGACATTTCTCATAAGACTCACAGAAAAGAAAGAAAAAAAAAAGATTTTTATATGCAAACAGACTAAATTCCCCCAAATTCAGGGTTTTTTTCCAGTTGTAAAGCAATATATAGCTAATGGGAGGTAAACTAGAAAAGGGGATGAAATGCATCATGCTGTACAACACCAAAGAAATACCCCAAATGCATTTGTGTACAGCATTAACAACATGCAATAGGTGAGGTTAAAAGCAAGTACAGTGTATATATTAGAGACAGAAACTAGTCAGTCTGAGGGCTTTCTTTCTTGTTTTAGTTCAACTAATGAAAACAAACAGAAGCCAAGAGCAGAGGAAGAGCAGAATCTGCATGGAAAACATCTCTTCCCAGAACAGTAAACATCTTAAGATTCAAATTTTGCACACTTTTACTTGTCTTGGTCCTCTTCTTGCTATGTAATTAAAACATATCCAGATCCAATGGGCTTTATGCAAGTATCTACATTTTTATAAAGCAGCAATTAAACAAAACAATGCAAGTCATTCAAATTCTGCTAATCTTTTAAGTCAGGCATTAATATGCTGAACACTCACTACAACTCAACATTATTTAAATTAAAAATAAAAACAGGGCAAGACATCTCCCAAACAGCCTTGCTGAAGTCTAGGGTATTCTAATTATATTTGTTGCTTGGAGGAGAGCGATGTGAAAACAGACAATGTGCTACCCAATTCATTTCATTAAGAATTATTTAAACCATACTTTTAGACAACAGCTGGTCTCTTTGTTCATTCTATTCAGTTCACAGCCTGACAGATTTCTCTTGTCAGTCTTTTATTTTTTATAACAGCAATTTTTTAAGACAAACTCCCAAGATCTCCTATAGATTTTGTCAGCTATTGAAAAGCAAGCAAGCATAGCACACATGCAAGTTATTAGAATTAGAGAGCCAAATATAATTAACTACAAAGTTCCAAGCAGTAAGTACATCTACATTCCCCTGGGGAGACTCCATCTTACTGGGAGATGGGTTTGAAAGCTGATAAAGAACACAGGTTACCTAGCTCACTTCCGAAGTTCTCTGCCTTCACCTGAAGACTTACTAGAATCCATTACCACCCAACAAGCTAACAAGCTAGTACAAATATTTAAGATTGTCATTAATTTCTGTAAGAATGGAGTGATGGCTGACAACTGAAGACCGACTTTTGTACTGTTGGACATACTGACCTTAATTTTAAATTAATTCAAGTCTGAAAATAATTGTGCAGCATTAACTTAAGACACAAATAAACAATCAAAGGATAATTAAAGGATAATTTTACCACTCATACACAAATCACACCAGCCAATGCTCCACCTCATTCACCTGAAGTACAGTAGTGTTTTTACAATATCCAACTGTGACAAAGTCCTTAAAAGGCAACTATTTATCATTTATCTACTAGTAATTCCCAACTGAAAAAGGCCTGTAATGCTCTGAACTATAAACAACTACCAGTACCTGTTTATTTTTTAACAGGACAGGGTTCACAAATAACTGAGTTGAATTAAAATAAAAGGAATGTGAAGGACAAAGTTTTGATTCAGATGTCTTTAGCACATATTAAACCAAAACTGACATTAAGACATGCTACTAAATATTCTCTGAAACTGCTCTGAGGTGTGGCAATCACCCCAGTTAGTACTGTAACTACTAAATTTAATGCTGGGTGAAAAACAGAATAGAAATTAGAAATAAGAAGGTACACTGTCTTTACATGTACCCTAGAGAGTACATGTAAAGAAAAGAGTGGGATTTTTATGTTGGATAAAAAGTTACTGATCTGAAAGTGTTGAGACTGAATGTACCTCTTATCTCCAGCAATCTAAATTGTGAGTGTTCCTTAGGAGATTAAATGCCACCAAACATTTTTCATCCTCTCCAATGAACAAGAGGCATTTCTTTTCACCCTGCTCAAATGTGTAATCCTTAACATCTAAGCAGAAATCGACCTTCCCACTTTAATTTCAGCAAAGCATTAAATACACAGAACACACACAAAAAATTTGGAAAACTTGAGATTTAAAGTTGTAAAGAAAAACAAAAGATAACAGAAATCTACTTTATTTCTGAATGCCTGAAGTAGATTGGTAAGTATTGACATCTGCTTCAGCAATGCCAGATGCAAGAGCACCCAGGAATAATAGTTTAACATTTCATATTGTTACCACTTTTATGAATTGGTGCATTCTGTTTATGTAACAGAAGACTAAGTGGAGAGTCAGAAAAACACCATCTGTACTGGGCTGGAAGCAAAAACTACCTGTTGAATACCTGAATGACACATTTGAACTGCTAATGAAGCCTCAAAGAATGGTCACCTAAACATCTACACTGTCAGGCAGCCAAACTGCAGGCAATTTTTGGTTATTAGCTGTCCGAACATCTGTGCCATTAGCAGAAAATGTTGGCAGCACTTAGACTCAACCAGGCATAGTGGGCTTCACCATGAATCATGAAGATGCAGGATCCAGGTTAAAATGCCTACAAAGCAATTTGGAGCAGTGATTCAGTGATCTTGAGATTTTAACACACCCCTATAGCAAGAGCAACTGGAACAGATTAGAAAAATGTGTTCATCCAAGTTAACCTGTTGCACAAGGAGATAAGCAAATAGACAAGAGGTCCAAGAATTAGTAATTCCTGTATTTGGCTTTAAAAAAAAAATCACATTCTTCATTGCTCAAAAATATGCTTGTAATTGAATGGGGAAAAAAATATTTATGAAAATAAGGTAGCAATCCCTCTCCAGCAATGTATCATGGAAACAGAAGGAAACTATCCTGAAACTCTAAGAGCTGGTGACACAAGAATTACTAACCAGCTCATCTCCCTCCTGTGCAAGCCATGTTCCCATATTTTGGGAAGCAAAAGGCAAAATCTTGAAAGCTTTAATTTCTAATTAGTGTTATCTTTTTAGGCTTTTAATCAGGTGTAAATTACTGCCTAACTCCAGCTGGCATCCATAAATATCGTAAGAAAACTAAAATCAAGTATTCTTGGCTTCATCATCTTCTAGGCTTCCAAACAAGGAATCACATTCTTACTCTAACATTACTACTTGGATGACAATTGAGAATTTTTCCTTTTTCAGCAAACTGCCCTTCAGGAAGTAAAGGGAAATCCACTGCCTAGGTACCAGCAGGGGAAGTTGACATATGCCTGGAACTGCCAATGAACAATTTCAAGTTCCATCACTGAGCTGTGGGGATGAGGGATGGAAGGGAACCAACCAAAATGAAAAACCAAAAAATGCAAATGCAATCAGCTGGTTTAATCTCCAAGCCCACTGTGAGATGGTAAAAAGCATTCCCCATGGTAACCAAAATGCCTTTCCCAAAACTTTTATGCTAATCAAGTGTACTTAGCTTTAGTAAGAATTGTGGAAAGGTTTGTATTTGTTTCGTTTTGGAAGAACTGGGATTTGTTTTTTCTTCTTTATATAGAACCTTACATTTGACACTTCATTTTACAAGTGACTTAAACAGCAACCTTAAACAGGGAGAAGTCTTCTAGGCAATTTCCACAAAGAAGCTGCTGCAGTCCTGACAAAGTACTCTAACAAAACATTTAAATAGCAAAGAACCTCATCTTCTGAAATACCAGATAATTAAAAATAGAACATGGATTTTAGCTAAAAAAAGCAAAAAACCACCCAAAACAAACAAACAAAATAAAACCCCACAAACCAATCTCTAATGACACTAGCTGACTGTCTCAAGTGACTGATACACCCTTTGAATCCTGGTGGTTGGAATGCTGGCTGCACTCACTGACTGCCAGCACGTTCAAGTCACACTGGCAGCAAATGGAACAGAGAACCTTCTGAGGCACATTGTCTCATTCTTAGATCTGGATGTGAGATTCAGTTTCCTGTTATTTCATAACAGATGTGTGCCAGGTACTTCAATGCTAGGACTGGATTTGACGACTGCCAGTGAAGATCTGCCTCAGAGCCAGTGCTCTCAGCATCCCTCAACAACATGACTTGAACCGTTTAAAGATGGAGGAGGAGCCATGGAGGCCACTTACATTGTGGACAAATTTAAATGGCAAGAAATGCAAGTGGCTAATAATAAAAAATAAACTCAATTAACATAGAATTCGTTTGTCCTCCAACATATAATACTCACCACTTCTGATTGTATTGATTTAAGCTTTTTGTTCTCTAACACTTATTAAGAAGCAGCTATAAAGTTACAGGACAGCTGGTGATACACCGAGTGTTGAGAGTTGTTTGTGCTCCAAAGGTTTGCCATTCTGAAGCCATAATCTACCACTATGACAATCTTATCTGATTTGTTTGCACAGTACAAAGAAGTATTTTTACCAGAAAATAGTTAAATTGTTTTTTTAAAAATATACTTAGCACTAACTCTCAGCCAATAAAGAGCTCAGTATCTCCTCTATTTCACTTTTAGCTACACTTACTACAGAAAACTGAATTTGTCTGTTCTGGCTTCTCAACATTTGAGTTTGCCCAATTTGGATATCAGAATTAAGAAGTGCTGCCCTTCTACTACTCAGTACCAGCTTTTTCTCCATGTGTAAATGTTTACTCTCCAGTACCAAAATGCCACTTCATCTTTTTTGGTAATGATAGAGACAGAGTTACTCAAACCTCACACCAAGATCTACTATTCAGCCCCAGATCTTATTTTAAACTCAATTATTGCTATGGCCTTCTCAAGTGCACCAAGGTTTTTCTGGTAGTAGTTTTCTCCATGTTGTTTGGGAGGCACAGGAAGTTCCCTACTTGCATAAAAGTAATTGTTCCCTTTGTAGATGTTCAAGTACTTCATCAGGGTTTAAGCTACAGCTCTGGAAGGCTCAGCATTGACGAGCTTCTTCAGCACAAGTCTTTTTTCATCACTGCTTTTTGCTGTCTGCCATGTACAGAGTGCACAATCTTTGTTCAAAGAGACCATTGCTACCTTGCAATTGCTTTATTTTGAAGCTACAGCTGGTCAATCTGATGATTCAGAGAATAATGGAACAATATTATGTTCTCATTATTTTCTATTCCACTAATTTTTTCTTCACCAAACTTTATCAAATAATTGATTTGTCCCATGATTTTCTGCATAGATGGCCTACAATCAGTCTCTGTTAGACAACAAAACTCTGGATTATTTCTGTTCTCTTAAGGAATTAACCAAGGTACCAGGACATGTAAAGTACTTGCAAATGCAAGGTCTCCACCCCATTTTATAACCCTTCTCTTTCAGCCATGTCACTAATCACAGTCAACCTGTTAAAATCACCACCACTTCTTGAGGACAGAACAAACACATTGGGTATGTACAGTGAAACCTAAATAGAAAATGATAGAAAAGACACATATCATTTGATTTCAATTAGCTACAGGTTTTGAAGGCTCCTTACTAGAAAAAATGTAGGCAGTCTGTGAATAATTCTTTCACACAGTACATCACATACATAGTGGCAAGAAGTGAGCCCCCAGTCACAAGTCCCTGGCGGTGGCACCTGCTGCTGAGGCAATGAGAACACCCCTGTGGAAGATCTGAGACTGTTTAGTCACCACTGGGTAAATTGCTTCTGTTGACTACAGCAGGAGATATTTCCTTGGAATGTACCTCAGAAGAAATTCCTGCTCAGTATATTAATATTTTCAAACTGAATAAAAGGCACTGTTGCTTAAGCCATATATTTCTTGTCTCCAAATGTTAAAAAAAAAAAAAAATATGGTTTTGAACACCTAGCTACTGCTACCCTAAGAAGGCTTCCTTGTTATCTCACAGTAACTTCACCTCTCCCTAAAAAAGCTTCACAAAAATTTCTTTTATCTGAAGCATGTTCTCACCTTTATATCTATCTTTATATCTAAAATTATGAGTTAGTATAACAGTATGCATTATAAAATTATACCATTTACTTCAGACATCTCTGAACAGCTAAATCTTCAAACTATACAAAAATAAAGTGTATGAAATCTTACAAAAGGAGGACATTAAGACAATAATAGCTAATTCAAAAAATATAATAACTTATACACAGCAGTAAGCATAAGCAATGTAGTCTACGACAGCTTCCAATTAACAGGACCTCTGAAACATGTCTGAAACAAGCATCAGCTGGAATTGGAACATTCCCAAGCACAATAATGTTTTCAATTTATTATCTTTACCACAGTACAAACTTTCACAACCCAAATGTCCATTGTCTGTCAATCTGTAAACAAAAGCTACAATTCCCCCTCCTCATTTTGAGAGGTGAATTTTTTCAGTCTTCAGTGAAGTTTCACAACCATCTTGCATAAGGAATCAAGAGCCTGTTCTCTTGGTAATTTACTATTTTCTTTTTTTTTTTCTTTTTTTCTTTTTTTTTGTTTGTTTCTCATACAGCCTGCAGTGAATTAAAATCACAGTGAAAGTCCTGGGAAAAAAATGATCTTTACAGCAGGACTTGAACCATTCTAATAATAAATGCATCTAACAAAGCTTCCCATAATAAAAGCATGACATTTCCATTTCCAGAAATCAAGTCAATTAGAAATGCTAAATTTTACTTAAAAACCCCAAAAGATCTAAAAGTGAAAAGATTCATCTTCTCAGTCAAATACAAGTCTTTCAGTTTCACTTGCAGAGACTGTTCCAGTCTGTAAAATAGTAGTGCAATTCATTTAGTTCTACTTCTTTTATTTTCCTTAAAGTCCAGTAGATAAATGTCCTATTTCTATGGAAAGATAGGAAGATGCTCCAGTAAACAAGAAACTTTGGCAAGCCCAGGAAGGCTTACTAGTCCATTAAAGCTTAGGAGTCCAGAGTGGCTTAAAAATGGTTTATGAATAAAATTTAAAAAGCTCAACAAATCAAAGTTAAAAAAAAAAAAAAAAAAAAAAAAAAAGCTGAAAAAGACAACCTAAAAAAATAAAGAAATAAATAGGCAGAAATGAATGTAAACTGTCTGAACGTTTTAATGATTTCTCATTGACAGCTGGCACAACCGTTGACAGTACAGTCATTAAATATAGGTGACCTACAGAGTATTCCATTGGGGCATCCACTCTGGGATGCTCAAATGGAATTACATTCCTAAAGATTTAAAAAATAGAGTTCTCATAATATTACTATAGGTTCTCTTCTGCCCACCTCACTTACACTTCTTCTTAAAGAGGTTTTTTATTTTTGATGGCTTTTTATTTTTTTCACCATTCTGGTAGAGGTCCTGTGGGATGCTGCTTATCCTGGGGACAGAAGCAGCTTCATGGCTGGGTTTGCTATCACTGCCGGTCGAGGAGCACGAGGTGTGACGAGGCTTTGGGACGGGGATCCCAGTTGAAAGCTGGTTCATGCTGCAAGACTTCTCCAGGATTCCATTATAAACTTTGCTTGCAGGACTAAAGATCATGCTCTTAGTTTCTGCCATGCCTACACAGTCAGGAGAGCCCCTAGAAACATCTGCAGTCAGAGAAGAGGAGTCTCCCGTAGATGATTCCTCCAGTGAGAATTCTTCTGGTGATACTTTCTGAGGAGAAATTGTCTGGTACATCTCAAGACTTGCTGGAGGAGATTGTTTTCTTCCAATGGATGAATTTAAGGAGTCACATTCCGAACCTGTTTCCTGTACTTCCCTGAGTCAGAGCAGAAAGAAAAGAAAACATAATGAAACTACAATTGTCTTCATGGAGTTAAAAAGGAAATTAATTCAGAATCAATAACATTAGTCTAAAAGCACCACCCACAGTTTTCCTTAGTAGTTAATTAAACAAAAAAAAATTAAGTTAAACATTTTAAGTTACAACTTGCATTACATCATTTTATTATCTAAACTTAAGGGAATTAGTTTGTGCAATCTTGCTTTTGTGAGCAGCAGCATCCGCCCAGAAATAGTAATTTGTATTTCCCTTCAAAGAACAAAGGCTATCTTTCTGGCACGTGAAGTCGGAAAAGTTATGAAATGAAAGAAGGAGATTTAAGCCTATCGTATACAAAAAGTTTCTTCAGGACAAGTGTCCCTACCTTTCAACAAGCTCATTTGCTCCTTCCAAAAGGAATTTAACCTTTTCCTATGAGGCCATGTAACAAGAGTAGGTACACGCTCAACATGCTGTAAGAATTGTGTTACCATCCATCTCCTCTTCGCCCAGTAGCTGACATTGCTTTTGATCCTAGTTTCAGATGTAAGAGCCAGTAACATATTGTAATGGAGAATCAGGGTTAGTTCAGTGCACCCTGGATTGTAACATTACTTAACTGTACATGACATGCTAGCTATTTACATACACATACCAGACAAGAACTCTCTGCTCCACGTAGACTATATTAATTTATATTATCCTACAGATTACTTTAACTTTTGGCTTGGTTTAACCTCTAATTCTAAACTGTTAGTCTCAATAATCCTATCAAGAGTTGCAAGTGCTGTTTGCTAATCTCCGTACCATTGTTTATCAGCAGAGAAGTAAATGGCTTCCTCCTCCTCTTCAGTTCGATAGAGAGCTGGGCAGCTCGACACAGAGAGGATGTCAGGGTCAGGGGAGTGCAGAGCGTGCTGAGACTGTGGAGATGATGGCACAACACTGCGTCTTGATCTACACAAGCTACTGCTTCTTGCCAGAGTGCTGGGAGCTTTTACAATGGACCCTGAGGCAGAGAAAAAGCAAACCAAAACCCTCCAAGTGACATTGATGTTAACAGTATCTACTCTGAAGACTAAGTAGCAGGCATCTGCTTCGGTGACAGTGACTTTTAAACAACTTTGACATTGCTTGACAGTTTCAGAGGAACAAAGACTGACACACCTCATACATTCTACAGTTAGATGAAGCAGCTAATCAAGATGCAACTGCAGAGATTTTGTGCCTGCCAAATACTACCCTGACCAAGTACACCAAAGCTCTGGCTCACTGTGCTCTCTTGAGAACAAAAAGAAAGATTCTACTGAAACTCCCAACCCTTCATAAACTAAAAACAGCAGTGCTGAAATTAGTATGTTACACAATGTCCTGTATTTTGTGTGGTGATTTGGAGGTTAGAAAAAAATGTAAAAGTTTTGCAATGTAGGTACGACTAACCAAACAGCCAACTGATATACACTACACTACTTGAAAAATAGGCTAGATAGAGAAGACCAATTTCATTTACACAACTTGACAGAAAATACATAATTCAACCTAACTTTAAGATCAAGAACTTTCTTTTAGATAACACTGTCTGTTGCCAGGCTAACTATGAATTTCTGGAAGTAAAAATACTAAGAATGGGTGGAGACGGCCAAGCAAGACTTCATCAGCAAAGTACCCAACAGGAAGTGATAAACTCAAATGTTCTTAATCCAATTCCTCCTTCAAAAGATTATTAGGCAGCAATACTTGTACAGAAAAAAATCTACAGACCTCTTTCCAGGCTAGCTGTTACAAGTCTCAGAATGTTTCACACCCCTCCTCAAACTGTCCCATGGAATGCAACACTGCTTATGTAAGATACACCAGACCTTTACTGTGTTCAAAATTGTTTAGCAACCACAACATGCTAAAAATCCCTTCAGTTATTTCTGTAGACAAGGATGTCTAGCCTGACAAAATACATTTTATTTTCTGCAATGCCAGTTTATCATCATATAAGCTACAGTTTCCCTTCCTGGAATCTCAGAAAAGGACAAGTTGTCCACTCTCTTGTAGTACAGGAAATCTAAACAGTACTTACGAAAAGGTGCAGTTACTTACTAAACTACTGACCCTAAAAGCATGTTAGGAGCTCAAAAATTATCTTGTGTAATTACAAAAAAAAAAAAAATCCTCAAAGAGCAAATGTGAACTGAGATAAGAGAGTAAGCATCTCTTTAGGAAATTTTGCTACAGGTCCAGGTAAATCAGATACCATCCTACTTACTGGCATTAAAAAAAAAAAACAAAACAAACAAACAAACAAACAAACAAAAACCAACCAAACAAAAAAACCCCCAAGATTGCACCATTGGTGAATTTTCAGAGAAGTAACAAGCATTTTGATCCTTTGTAGTGTATATACACAGGGATATGAAGAATTCAGCTATGACAATTGAACATGTAGAATTTTCCAGTGCAAATGAAGCTCACTAAATCAAGGAACCAGCTGAATCCTAATGAGTCAATGGAAAAACAGAAGTTTCACTATTACCTTCCAGCTGTAAGGACTTTTTTCCAGGGTCAGACACTATTTCTCAATCCATTTTTGTTCTTCAACTTCAGATTGATCAAACAGCTCTATTACTTGACACCATATAAGCCTTTCAACGCAATTGCTCTGGCAAAAAGAAGCCTGTCCAACAGACTTCAAATTTTGTCAATCTTATGAGTCCAAAGGATGCTGGGGCCAGGCAATATCCCAGTCCACTTTAGATCCAGTGATGGAAATAGCCCCTTTCTTAAGTGACCTCCTGCACAGGGCATTTTGCCTGAAGCCTCATGACCAAGATAAGCCATTATGCTTCTGTCCTTCCTCGTGTGTATTTGTTATTTTTGTCTAAAGGATGGGAATAATTCAGTATTTACTGAACTAACCTACAATAATTTGACTCCTCAACACTAGTTTCAACAACAGATCATTTAGCATATTTTTCTCATACAGTAAAGTTTCATCTAAGTATGCTCTTACAAACAGTACAGTCCTTTTCTAATTGTAATTCCTTTGAATCAACTGCACTTTCTTCTCTGGCTTCATTTCTAAACAAGAGTTAAATGAGAAGAGTGACTAAGAAAACTCAAGTCTGCAGTTTTTTACAGATATCCAAGTGTTGTCATTTTAGACCATCTGGAAAATCACGACAATAAATGGAGCTCTTCATTTTCAAATCAGACCACAGCCTTCTCAATACAGAATTGGATGCTTAACTCTAGGAATCCATATTTCATTGGGTCTCAAATAAATTTGTTGCTAGGGTTTAAATCAAAGTATTTGCACTGAAGACAACTAGAGAAACAGTATTCCTTAAAAGTGATCAGAACTTGCACTAAGTTGCAAGAGGATTAATAAACTTTTCACTGTGGTCTGCAGAAAAAAAGGTGGGTACATTAAGAAGAAAAACAAGTGCCCAAGGCATACTAAGTAAAGCCAGCAAAGTGGCGACCTTATGCTATTTTAAAATACAGTTTGAATTTCTTCCGAGAATCCCAGCCCTGGAAGAAAAATGTAGCCACATGACAGTTTTCCTTCCTACTCATTCCTCAGCTTCAAACAGCTTGTTTGAATAACTGCATGGGAGCTCATCTTTTCGATTTGCCTCTGGAGTCCAGTTAATCACAAGCTCCATGAAGCAGGCTCTTGTCCTGACACAATGACTCATGATGCAAGGGTGGTCTGAATCCCCAGTGTATTTCTTCTGATCATAGTTTAACCAAAGCTGGACTTCTCTCCCTCTCCGACGGACACTCAAACAACCAACCACTGTATCCAAACACAAACATTCTGTCTGAAAGCCTCCCTTGAACAACAACAGGATTTTGTTCCAACCACTAAAGAATGTGCACAAGGCTATGTAGGATGCAGCCTCCCAAAGGATGTGATCTTTCTCATAGCTCAAGGAACCCTGGACTAACCTCATCCCTTCATCTGAGGTAACAAACTCACCATTATTCATTAAAAACTTTTGTTTAAGTAGCAATCCAAGTTGACAACCATTTTCGAAACCTTAGCTGAATTTGCCCCACTCCCCCACTGAAACAAAAGAGAGGCTTTTTCTTCATGTTATCTTCACTGCAAAACCCACTTTGCCATTTAAGTCCCACTGGAGCTAGTATTTGAAATTCTACATAGAATTTTGGTCTTTTTGACTTTGATCTAATCCTGTTTGATTTCAGTACTCTTCTCCCACCTGACTTGAAAATCCCATGTCCCACAACTTTTCCCCTTTCTTTTTACTGAGCTCATCACTTACCATGAAACTGTGAAACTATTGGAGGAGTGTCTTCATCTAAGTCATCAACTCCCCCTGCAATTGGGTAGGGAGGAATGGAAACTCGAGGCATAACTACCCAGCTGTGATCAGAGTAGAGAGAGGAGGTCAAGCTTGGTAGCCCAGAATTGTGTGCGATTTGAAACCCACAAATCTTCTCAATCTGCTGCCATCGATAAAGACGCTCCCGCAAACACGTCGTCAACTCAGAGAGTGCTTTCCTGAAAAAAGGCACATATTAAAATTAAATACACCGTACTTATTGATAAAGCAAAGCAACACATTCATTCCAGCACACCAGAAGAACCATTACAGCTGTTGAAATATTCACATTTTAGTATTTTTTTAAATTGCTTTTGTAAAGGGCAAAACCACTAAGACACTCAATTCCGTAACTCTCCGGGAGTTCTGTTCCAGAAGCAAATAATCACAAAAGAATATGCATCCTGTCCCAGTAAACCTCTTACTTTGCTTCAAGAATTTTATGGTCCACTTCATCCAGGGAGGAGCTGTGTGCAACATGTAGTGTTCCAAATACAGTGCTTCTCTTCTTTTTTATCTTTTCTGCCTAAAAAGCAAAGTAAAGTGAAATGCATAAAACTAGTAATATACTTAACAGATGACAAAACATTAGCAATATTGACCTGTAGCAAACAACAATTCAGAGAAAAAACACAAATGCTTGTCTGCTTTGTGTTTACTATTTCATATCTCTAGCAACAATCAGAAAAATTAAGTAGCTGAAGAATAATTTATTACCTCATCTTTAGCAATCGCTAATTGCATTTCTGCATGCTGTCTTTTGATATTGTAATATTGTACTTCAACTTCGTGTGTTAACTGAAGCCACTTCTGCAAAGCTTCAGGAACAGACCAATTACTTCTCAACTCAAACTCCTTCTCAGCCTTTTTTAAAGCCATACGAACCTAGCAATCAAGAAGAAATGAAAGTGTCACCAAAAGCATCATTAGAACTAACAGGTGAATTATAAGCACCTTTATAGCCCACAGCAAAATAGCAAAGCTTGACAGAGTTTTGGTGTGCGCTGGTTGTTGTCAGGTATGCAGATCAGGCAGCTCTGAAATCTAGCATATGACCTTCCATATTTTTTCCAATGCTATATAGTTCCTAATTCAAAGTTTAAATATTTTTGTAAGATGATAATTTTTTTAGTACAACAAATCCAAGTTTATTGCTGCTCAGATGAAACAAAGCTACTCTCTCTCTTCTAATAACAAGATAAAAAAAGCTTTTGTGTATTTTTTTTCAGTAAATCCCAAAATATTATGATAAGCTAATATACAAAGTTTACAGCTTCTAATATTTTCAGGATTATTTTACTAGATAATGGCATGACTGAGAGACAATCATTAAGAACTCTTAGAATTTTTCCATTCAAATCCAGCATTTGGGGAATGCTGTTTTAAACACTACTGAGGATCTTATAAAAATAGGACCAATTTAAAGTCAACACTACATTTATTAACAGCTGGCAGATACCTGTACTAACTCTTCCTCTGCATATTTGAGCCTGCTGAGCTCACATTCAGCTCCCTCTCTCAATTCCCTGAGGCGGTGAGCTTCACGTTTTGCATCATTGATCTCATCCATCATTTTGCGCTCCAGATTTTGCTTTTCAACAGCAACGTTTCTATTCTCTTCTTGTGCCTTCTCAAGCCTTCAGAATTGAACAAAAAATATGAGAAAATATACAGCATATTTGTTAAAAGTTGTAGCCCTCAGGATAACAAAATGCATCCAGCAACAGGGCAACGGGCACAAACCAAAGCACATGAAGTTCCATCTGAACATCAGGAAACACTTCCACCATGAGAGTGACTGAACACTGGCACAGGTTGCCCAAAGAGGTGGTAAAGTCTCCATCCTTGGACATATTCAGAAGCCACCTGCACATGGTCTTAGGCAACCTGTTCTAGATGGACCTGCTTGAGCAGGAGGGGCTGGACAAGATGAACTCCAGAAGTCTCTTCCAACCTCAACCACTCTGTGATAATAAAGACTCTGCAAGCTTCATGAATCAGCAGCAATTACATCACACCATGTGATATCCATGCCAGGCAAAATACCCAAACTTTTAAGTGAACTATCATTAAAAGTGTAGTATCAAAATACAAATTTCTCTAGACAACTGTGTTACAGGTGCACCACAGACTATCAGCTTTCACAATGCTATATATGCAATAGAAACTAAACAGCTCAGGTCTGTTTCAATCTTAAAAGCTTGAAAAGAGAAAAGGTGTTCTCATTCCCATGTATGTAACTGTTTAAAATAAACTGTAATTATATGAAAACAACAACACATACATGTAAATCTGTAGGACAAACTCAGCCTCTATTCTCTACCTTCATCCACAAGTTAGTATTGCTTGCTAAAATATCCAGGAGCAATCTCTACCCAAGAAATCAGCACCACTGAAATCACAATTTCCATGCAAAGGGAAGATGAACAAAATCCAAAGGCAGTTAATGCAAAAAACTTAAGACTGTAAAGGATCTGCATTTGTGTTTAACCTCAAAACAAAAGGACAACTTTTTTTTTTTCTTTTAGGTTTTATACCTTTCCTGCAAGTCAAGAAGACTTTGCTCTGCTGTTTGGAGACTTTCTAAGTCCTTCATCATTTTTGTGATATGTTCTCTTGAGGTTCTGTTCTGTGTATATGCAAACCAGCAGCCTCCAAAACCAATAACTATAGAAACTGTTAATATAAAATCCTTCATCCAGTTGTGAGGGGGACCTGTGCAGAGAACAACACCATCATTAACTAGTTCACTGATAGAGACAACAGATTAAGGCCTTCCCCCCCCTCTCCCCAGCCTAAAAGGTGGCAGAACCTAATGCTAAACAGAATTCTAGCTCATTTACCTCAAACCACCTCCAACAACTACCTTTTCAAATGTATTCCACAGCATTTTCATACAACATAAATCGGTCTGCTCTAATACAATTTACTTCATCTATACTAAAACATTCATTAGACTGAGAAAAGCTTACTAAACCCCTTTACAGTACATACTCAGTACCTTTATTTAGAGTTAGAATAGAGTTCCACAATTGCACTGCATTAGGCCAGTAGGAGGTGTAATTAGATTTGAGCAAGTTCTTTCCAGTCTGTACCCTCTTAAATACCCTATGTTAAGTTAAAAATGCACTTGGGAAAAATCAAAATGGTAACAGCAGCACTTTTTAAAAGTTGGATTGTCAAATTATCAAATTCAAGATTCACACAATACATCTTTGTTAGTAGAAATTTTAAAGTCACTTGCACCTCTGTAAAGACAGTTTCGGTGAGCATTAAAGGTCTAACACAAAGTGACTCCAGCTCAGATCTGGCCTGAGTAGCTCAGGAGCCCCTGACATGCACAGCACCAGAGCAGAGCTGTAACTGTGTACAAGCAGGCATGCAGAGCACTGGTGATGAGCTATGGACATGGCTGCATATGGTAAAATGGGTCAGATGTGGAACTCCTGCATTAAATTTAACTGCACTTAAACTCAGGTATACACAAAACACAGGTGATGGATTTGCATCACCATCTCATTTTTTCTTCTTGGGGAAAGTCATCCCCTCTCATTTCAGCATCCCAGCTGTACTGTCCAAGCTAACTGAGAAATGAATGTAACCTTAGCCATAAATGCAATTTAAACAGTCAAAAATATTTAGAGGACACTTCTTGTAACACAAAAGCCAACACCCATCTGTCAAGTGGGGTTATACTAAAATTTCTACATGATCTTACACACAGAAGTGAATCTTTGTTCTGCTCACAGCACCTAAATAACTTTTTTTAATTCATTGCAGAGTTCCACAACGCATGCCAAGCAATCCATCAGTACATCCACAAAATAGATAAGCTGAACTATCTACACTATCAAGTGTCATGGAAAATATGCTCTGTTGAATTCCTACAATCAAGAGATAAGAAAAAATCTTCAAAAAGTTACTAACGAGTGAGAGGTCCAAACAAAACAACATCCAAGGCTTTAAGCTGAAGCTTCTGTCTGTGACTCCGATCAATTATTTTCAAGTGAGAGATCATGAAAGCATGTTCATTTACTGCTATCCTGTTAATGACAAGACAAAATGTTACCTATTCCATAAACTATATTCAAAATTACTCTATGCAAAAAAGACATCAGTAGCATTTCCCACAGTTACACAGATTACAGCTATGCAATTAAGAGTAAGAATACAGTGAGAAAACAGCAGTAATGCTAGAGAAATGCATATCAGCATGTGGCAAAAAAGAAAATAAGGTCATTTAACTATCCTTTTCTTTCTGGAAAAAAATCATTAAATAAACCCATTCTGCACAGTTAAAGGTATATTCACAGACTTGTGACACCAACTCCTAAATACATGCAATGCTCAGGTGTGGTATTTATGCTCCAGGAAAGGTACTTTAGAGTTACATAGCAGTATATACCCATACAATAAATCAGAAGATGTTCAAAAGGAAGTTTGCTACCACATAGAATTATGTGACCTTTGATAAGCGCCACAGAAAGAAATAAAACTTTTAGGGAAGTTATATTTTGAAATATTCTGGCAGAAAAAAACCTGCAGCCACCTCTTCAAAACTACAAGGACACTTCTCTTTTCTTGCATTTGACTGTACCTTGCTAGACTTTAGGTTCACATAGTTGTTCCTACCATTTAAACTAATGTAGCAACCTATGGCGAATTATTTGAAACTAATCCAGAAGATATATTTACCTGGGAAGTGTTGTTCCATTGACATTGCTGTCTCTAAAATTCTTTTCATATTGGGGCAATTCAACAAAATCTGAGAGCCACTGAAGAGTGTCCTCTTGAGTCCAGTTATGAACTGAAAGAAGAATTCAATTACCTTAGGTTTTTACTAAAAAATCAACAGCTTAGAAGACAAGCAGTAGAAAAGCAGGTTACAATAACCAGAAGAGTTTAGGCAAATATAATTCCAGAAAAATTAGCATTACCAAGGTGTTTCTGGCATTTTGCCTTTTTCATTACATGCTCCCCTGTGAAAGCTTAGGCAAACTATAAATAAACAAGTGTGCAACCAATAGAAATATTTCTTTACTAAAACCTTCACAGAACAAGTGAGTCTTTTGCTTTAGTTTCAATCAGGACAGCATCTTGTGACTTTCAACTCCTTAAAGTGATTCCAGCCCCTTTGTCCTCGCTACCCTTGCAGAACTAAACACTCATCAGCTGGTGCTGTAACCATTTGAGGCAATGTACCAAGATCTTCCCCAGGAGGATGCCTTAAGAACTTGTTTTGACAAGAATTGTCTTAGAGGCTTATGCCTTCTAACCCAAAATGGGAGCTGACAAGAGAAGGAGAGAGGAGACTGAAAGAAAGCACCAAAAGACAGAAGAAATGTAACAGGAAAACTATTAAATCTCTCTCAAACATGCCCAAGAAAAGTGGAATAACATGCAAAAATACTTTATGAAAAAATACTAAAAATGTAGAGAATAATTAACAATTTTCCTTAATAACAGCAACACTCTACATAAACATTCATAGCTACAGATGTGCTAAGAAAATACTACCCACAGATACTACCAAAAAAATAAAATCACATTTCTGTCCCTTAAAGAGCAGCTGCTGCAGTTTGCAGCTTCACACTGACAAAACTGAAGGGAAATTGTTCACTCCATTTATAGTCTGCAAAATCTGTCTGCATAGGAAAGAAACAGGGATGGTCTCTTTCTGGGCAGACATGTATTCAAATGAAAAACTGAGGGTTTTTTGAACATTTCTCTATCTAGCACTACCTTCATGTGACAGTGCTAGGCACAGATGATAGGACACATTCTCAGTGGTGACTTTTGCCAATAATCCTTTAGGAAGCACTGCTGAAAGCTTGACAGGTAAAGCTGCAGGCAATAGAAATTTTTATGAGTTCAAATTCATATTTCAGTTCACACTGTAAATGAAATAAGGACTTCTAGGTCTCTTGTCTACACTAGCACAGCTGCAAAATAAGCTTAAACATTTTAGGATTATTATCATTCCTGATAGGTGGAGACAGAACACATTTCACAGACTCACAGCTTCAAAAACAAACTCAGTACAAACCTCTTGTAATCTGTCCATATGAATGGCTACACAACCTCCCCAGTCTGCTGCCCCATTTCCTTCTGTCCCTGTAAGCTACAGTCAGGTATTGATTTGACACAGACTTGGTTTTGTCATATTACAATATTACAATTTACCACATTACTCTAAGATTTTATGCAAAATGTCTGGGCTCCATTTATAAACAGGTAGTTTCCCCATTGCAAAAACTCTTAACACTGTTATGTGAATAATAAGCAATCCAATTACAAATGATTCAAAGTCATTTGGCTGGTCATCACAAGTATCAAAAGAGTGGTAAAATCCTCCAGAGAGGTATCACCTTAACTGCATTCTAGAAATATGTTCATGACTGATCCAAAGAAAAAGCATTGTTTTGTTGTGACATGAGAAAAAGCCACCTAAACCAGCCACTGCACACTACAGACTACCACTGACACTACAGAACACTCCATCTCAGAAGCCACACCATTTGTGTGTGTAAGCATGGGCAAGGGTTAAAAATACCATTGAGACTTTTCACTTCTACTGATGAAAGAATTTTGTAGACACTCTGTCAAATTTTACATAAATTTATAGGTTTCTATAATCCAGTGGTAAGACTAAATATATTATCCTGAAAGAAATTAGCTACACATTTAAGTGGTTTACCATACAGCAAATCACATCTGTTGCACTGCTTAGACTGGCGTGATGTTTTCTTCATGGACTATCCATGAAATTTTCCCAAAAAGATCAGTTACACTCTGGAAAAAGTACTTTATTATTCATTATTCTCACTGTATCAGATACCTCCATTAGTACAGAAACTGCAAAAAGAAGTAACTCACAGTCTATCCTAAACTAGAACTGAAACTTGTACTCTCTGTACTCTTACACTGTTACTCATTTATTAAAAATAATATCAATTACTACTTTATTTGTGTTGTGTCCTTTAACTGACCACTCAACCATTTAGGCTATGAATATATATTGTTACCTCTTACTCTGGGATGTCAACATCTGAATCTCTTTTCATATACATATTTTGCAAGAAATTTAGATTTATTATGTAAATTAATTCTTCATTCACAGAAGTCCAGTGTCAGTGCCCCCAGATCCCCAAATTTTGCAGGTGGACTCAGACTCTAAACTACACTGTTCTTACTTTCCTATGCTATCAATCAGTGAAAACATTCAGACTGCTTCTTTTTGTTGTAAACTTCCATACACCATGTGTTGGTCAGGAGTATTACCTGACTTGTCTCCACTAAGACTTCAGGACATACAGATATGTTTGTTCTGCAACAGCATGAAGTACTGAAAAGCAAACTGGCCCTTCTCCACAAGCAGCATTGAAACATGACACGAGGCAAGTGTGATATTCACCAGGACCAGGGTACCGAAGGGCAAGCAAGGCAGCTGAAACTCATCTTGATCAGCACTGCCAATTAGAAGGTGCCAACTCACACTAATTAGCTAAGGTTGTAATTTTTCCTTAGTTTATCACCAAAAAAGAAAGCAGTATACTTCAGACAGCAGAGTAGCAATCCACAATTACTGTAAGTTAAATGCATATAGCATTACAGACTAATTATAACATTCTTCTCTCTCACAACTCTTTTTACAAAGATACCTTCAGAGAGAGGATGTCAGCAACATGCTTTGGGCAGGCGGGTATAGAAGAGCAGTACTCAGTCTCTAGCCCTCCATCAGCTATTTTATTCAACCACAAGTTTGAGTTTTGGGGTTTTTTTCTACTTCTTTTCAACTCTTCTACCAACATACCTGAAGGTGAAGACAGCAAAAGTAGCTTTAACTGGGCCTGCATGAAAGTTTCTCATTATTAACCCATAGTAATTAAAAGATCAGGCTATTTATCAGTTTCTTGCGTTACATTTACCATCATGTTAAATTTATCATATCACACAAAAGGATTCAAAACTTAGTTTCTAGGACCTTCAGCAGTAACATCAGCAGTATGCAGCATTATGTAACTAACTCATCCTTAGCCAAGCCCTGCTTGCATTCATTTCCAACCTCCAGATATTTAAAACCTGAGACAGCAAATGATTAGAGAGCAAGACAACCACAACATGTTTGTGGTATGCAGTTTAGTCCCAATTGCTGCAAGAACACTTGTGCAGTAGTACATCAGAATACAACAGGTGATCACACATCCAAATATAGAGCCATTTTTGTAGCTTTTTACCCTAACAAATAATGTACCAGACTTTAGTTCACCTCTGTTTTCCACAAGAGGGAAAGAGAAATAAAGGGGACAAAAGGTACACATAGAAGGCAAGAAGGTTTTATTTGTATTATAGGGCAGTCCATAGGAGATACTATACATTAAACCTCAAATATGCCATAATGGCTAAAAAAAAAAACTTTTTTTTTTTTTTTTTAGGCTGTTTGTTACAACTAGGTTTTGATAGAATTCAAATTAGTCTGACAATAGCCAAGCATTCATGAGCTCCAGGTTTGACTTGAACAGTTTTTACTTGGCTACAAAATCAAGTCCCAAGGGACAATTCTGCATCACTAAGGATGCAGCATCCAGCCCTACTCTCTGAGACAGGTCAGAGAACCACCCAGCTGAAGGCTCTGGACTGATTTTACAGCCCTCTTGCTACTGAGACTAAATACCTACACCCTGCTCTTCAGAGAGCAAATTCACACAACCACAGCCCATTATAGGGGCACAGAGAGACAGCAGGTGCCACTGAGTGAGAGAACTTCCAGAGATAATTGTACAAAGACTGCCATTCAGACATCAATAAATACTGATGAACACAGGAACAAATGTTCATCTGTCCCCTTTTCCACACTGAAAACTACTACCTCTTCAAGGCCTTTGCAGAAAAAATACTACACCTTTGATATTAACCTAACAGTAGCTATTAAGTTTGTTACTTGTGAATAGCTGAAAGACTCTGCAGTACATGTATAATACTGCTTATTTAGAAGAGGAGACAAAGAATACCATGCAACAAGCACATATACTGACATTTACACTGAAGAACAGTAACAGAAGTCAGAAGACTCTCAGAAAGAAGTGTTTTCTACATTTTGAACAGCTATGATAGTTCATAGTCACTCCTCTAAACAGAGCAGTCTGTAGAATTAGATTTTAAAAAATTCAAAGGTCATAAAAAGCACATTCTAACTAACGTAAATTATAGTCTTGTTTTGTACCAAAGGAGTCCTTTAAACTGAGTGGCAACACAGCAACAAGAGGCTAGATGCTGATTCAGGCTATGATGTGACTCCTGCTATGCAGGTAAAACCTGTAACATCCTTGAACTTCCTTTAATTTGCACCAGCCTACACTATGCCTTAAGGATTCTGCACCAGGCAGGGACATCAAAAACCTACTCAGTGCCAGAAATACTAAAAAGCAGTATTCTGAAGCCCCTTCTTTTATTAGGCAATTTTTAGAGCTTTGAATGCAGCCAATCCTCAGTGTTATGTTCAGGGTATAAAATCCTTTTCAATCAATTATTTAAAAGCAATCTCTACTTTCCTTAGTCCTAAAAGGAGACATCAAACAGCAATGACATTTTTTTTCTTTCTTCCCTCACATCTTATCTGTCTGGCACCACCAATATGTTAAACAAAGAACACCTTTGAGCTATTTGACAAATATTTAAGACAAATATCCACATAAAGCAAGCTTTATGGCAAAGAATAGGCAAATTCTACTCAGCATAAACTACGCAGCAGTAGATCCTGAAGATGTTTCTGTATATACTGTCAGGAGCAATAGAGTTGGCAATTCTCACACAGACAACTCAGCAGATTGCTTAAAAGTCTCAAATTACTGATACTATCATTTATACTACCTTCCATCCTCTTATTTAATGTAGTCAAATTGCTGTAAACTAGCGGCACATAAAAAACAAATAAATCAAGAATTCCTAAAACATATAAAGGAATGGCAACATATTCCATGTTACCTAAAATCAAATTAAAGTAGTTCATTTTCTGAGAGGCTTCATGCTTTCTAACAGTCAGCAGACCACTGTTAACACTGCTCTGGAGTCTCATTCTAAGGGTCTCCCTCTGGTGCAATTTTAGTTCTCTCAGCAGGATACACAAATAAAGCCACTATAAGCAGACACAATGAGATGAGACATTCCTCTCCAAGTCTTTTGAGTCTTACTCACTACATTCAAGAACACTGGAATAAAGATATACACAACAGACGAACTATACTTCTAGAATCACTGAAGCCTAAATTTTTAACAGTTATTCATGACTTACACCTACAGTTTTGAGGAAATCATTTTTTCTGATAATTTAGTTGCAATACTTTCAGGGCACAGGATCTTCAGTTAATAAGTATTTAAAGAATATTTGAAGAGATAAGGCCAAAAGTTACTGGTTAAAACGAAAATTTACTATATTCCAAACACTTCATGCATTACCTCAGAGTGCAGTTAAGTGACTTCCTGCATTAGCAGAATGAACCAATGCCATATTCCTGGATTCATTCCCCTCCTGCTCTTACTTTCAGTTGTTTGACCCATACTAAGTTTTAGATCTCTCTATGCTCACTATTAGAACAAGCTGTGGTTTAGGTATTCTCAAATTTAGCAGTCCTTTTACAAACATGTGCAGTTTCCCCTCCCCCTCCAATTGGAGGCACAAAGGGTAAAGATCACAAATCGAGATAGGAACAATTTACTGGAAACAGCAATGAGATAAGAAAATTAACAATAAGAGCAACAATACAATGACAAAAGGTATAAGAAAACTAAACTACTCACATGGAAAGCCCCTGACAATAAACAAATACCAGATGGGTCCGTTCCCCATATTTCTCCACCAGAATGAATCTCCTCTCCCCGGCACACGCCAGTTCCAGCTCCCAGCAATGACGTGGGGTGCAGGTGTAGGATAACACCCTGGCTGCGGCCATGCCCCCTCCTGACTGCTGCTGAAAATTAATCCTGGCCTGGCCACAGCCAGGACAGCACAACACCTCTGGAATGAGGGCTGGGGTGGGGAAGGGGCTGAGGAAGTCAGGCATTTTTCTCCTAACAACTCTAGCATTTCAGATCTCTTTTTTAATCACTATATCCTGGGACGTATTTGGCAATGAACACTGTGCTGATTAAATATTGTCCTTTGATACTTGGAATAGTTGGCTCAACTTATCTCATTTAAATCAAAGTGAGGGAGGGCTGATGGTGTTGGGTTGTCAATGCATTTTACTGTATCCCATGTTAAAGAAGATTTTTCAAAAATTCTTTGGACTAAGAATTCTAGATCTTTGCAGCTCAAATAAAATCGAAATCAAAGTGAAAATGCATTGAATTTTCCACTTAATACTATATTTAAAAAATTTAAATAGCTTAGGAGAAACTCTTAGAGTTTATTAAACCAAAAACATGCTAATCTGGAATTCAGCACTTCCACCATCACCTTGATAAATTACAACCTCACGCAAACTATCTTAGTTTACTTAGTTTACAATACACAAAGCATATGAAGAGGAAATTACCTCTAGCTGAGTTCTTAATCAAATTTATGTGTGCCTATAAATACCAGTGTCAAAACAGACTGATGAAGATGCTTCAAGAGGTCATTCATTCACTCCTCTATGCTTGGTGGAAAAATTGTTGAATTATACCGATGCCATTTTCAGCCACACTTCTTTACCTACCTTCAGATGTTTTCCAGCGTTTCCACAGATCCTCAATGGTGATATGCTTGTCTTCTCTGTGCAGGTGACTATGTTTATTTGAGGCATCCTTGTATTGCATATCTTCCCTTAGAAACTGAAGAAAAGAGAAAAACAATCTTAAATGCCTAAATGATGATTTCTGAAGAGAAACTGCACAGAAATCAGGTAGAGTCTTTCCCATTTCTTCCCCATGCAAGCAGCAGAGAATTGATCTGAGTTTTCTGCATCAAAGACAGAAGGTAAGGTAAACCCTCTTACAAGATTTGTTTTTCACAATTATTAAATCCTAGAAAAACTGACAATGCAGTTGCCACTGCACTGAGTTGAAAATCATTAGTATGCCTCAGATTTACAGTGATTACAGGAACACACCACACAGTCACGCTGTACACTTCTCTATTCTGATGACATTTAACCAACTTCCCCTCCTTGCAAACAAGGCCATGTAAGATTTGAAAGTGTGCCAGTCATTTTTGGATGACTAATGCCTGAATCCTGCCATACCAGTTAAATGCAACTGCCTGAGGGATGAGAGTAAGCTGTTTACCAAGTAGTATTAAAGTCTTTTGATTAGACAACAAAAATTTGACTTCTATTCATCAAATTAAAAAACAGAAGTCATCTGAGGGCCAATTTTCTGCTTGCTAATCATTCCTCAGTGGTTACACTCCAAGCACAGAAGCATTACATAAAGCTGCTTCATTTTCAGTAATTAATAGGAAGCCTTTTAGCAAACATTATAAAAAGGAATATCATGCAACCCTGACATACAGAGTGGGTGGGGAGGCACTGGCACACGTCGTGCAGAGAAGCTGTAAATGCACCATCCCTGGCAGCATTCGAGGCCAGGCTGGATCGGGCTCTGAGCAATCTGAGCTAGTGCAAGATGTCCCTGCCTACAACAGGCAAGCTGGAATCAAATGATCTTTAAGGCCTCTTCCAACCCAAACCATTCCATGGTTCTATGATACAATTTTATGATGGCAGTGCTGTATCAGTATTCCACAAGTAGCTACAAACAGTTCTCCAAATACACACCCAAGAAAAGATATGGAACTGCAAAATACATTCAATATTTTGATCTCATAAATGCCTAGAAAAGTTGGAATACTAGTTGGTAAATGACCTCCAACTAGTTAATAGTGGAAACCTTCCATAAGTATCAGTCCCTGAAAGCACTGTATGAACAGTCTCTGTGGGTGAAAACCTTAGGAGCAGTATCAGAAAACAAGTATCTGGTACTAGCAGTACCAGAAAACCAAGTAACCTTCCACAGTAGATAGCTTGCTTTCCTCTGCTCATAAAGTTCAATAAAGCTACTCCAACAAAACCAGCTACAGATAGTCATGACAGCCAAGTCAAAAATAGCCTTTTATACAGCTGATCATATGTCATCACCACTTCAAGAGAGGTGAGGAAGAAAGCCATGCTAGTGATGCACTGCAAAAGAACTCAATTCTTAAAATTCAGTCCAGGTAATAATTCAAGTGCAGAGCATCCCACAAAGGCTCCATTTCCAACAAACCTACAGAGTATACCGTTCAGAAACTGCAGGAGACACTGAAAAGTAGCCAACATTAAATAATAATATTAACTCTTAATAAAAAGGCAGAGTATACAATAGCAGAAATACGCAAGAAAAGAAATATGCAATTCCCCCTAACTTAATATGCAAATTCTCCCCAACTAAAATATTTTTACTAGAATGTGAGGGAATCTCAAACTATGAATGGATTGAAGTTTCTCCCCTAACTGATGGATTTGGGACAACATACTAGTTTGCCCTCCTTAAACAAACCACAGAACCAAAGTATCAAAACACTGACTGGATGTAAATCCTCTTACTTTTATTTATTACTTCAAAACTTTTTCTGATTGTCACAAATTAATTTTGTAAAGCCTTTTGATTCCTAGAATAGTTCCATTTAGCCCATATAAGCTGCATAAGCATTTTTAACTCCTTTTCCCCATGTGTATAAGAATGGCATAAATTGAGATATATAAATATGCATTCATATACATGAGAAATATATGAGAAACTTATGAAATATGTGAGAACTGAAAATAGCAGCCTGCTGGGGCAAAGGCAATTACAGATCTTCTGAAAAACCATGGGTCAGCAATAGTAAAAAGGTTTAATAAGCACAGGACTGTATGCTGTAACTGTATGGAAATGTAAAAATATCTGTTGCACATTCCATCATCCAAGTGGGAACTCTGAATACTTCCCATATTGGCAATCCTTACATGAAGCTGCCAAATTCTACAACTGTCACGCAACATGCAATGAAAGATGGATTGTCTTGTTCATTCCCACTCCATGTTTATTAAAGGCTAAACTGAAGAGCAGGAGCTAAACAAAAAGAAAACCAACAAAATAATTTTCTTATCCACTAATGTCCCTAAAGTTTTCCAGATTATAGTACAGTCTTACAGATGGAACAGCAGGAAAGAACTGATGCTTTCCCACCTTACCTTTTCCCTCCAGACTTCAAGAATCTGCTGCCAACTGACATTCCCAGAATATCTTTCAGGAACTTGCAAATAACATACTAAAAATACAGCAAAAACATGTCTTATATGTCCCTTTCTGTAAAGATTATCTCTTTTCACGTGGGGGTTAAGGTAAATGCTAGCGCTCACTCTTCAGCTTTCCAGTGACTGATGATGCACAGTCCTTGGGGACTCCAAATGTCAGGCAGGGACATTTTTTTTTCAAAACAAGTGTTGTAAGGTGATCAAGTTGCTGAAGAGGGACAGAATATATTGTATCTCCAGGCTTGGCCCAATTTTGAGTCTTCTCAGCTAAAACTCAGATCACTCTTGTTTGTACAAACTCGCTACCTTTACTGATAGTTGTCAGTAAAAGTTGTAAAATATCGAAGGGTGAGAACTTTTGCTCGGTTACAGGTGCTGTCAAGAAAAATCTGAGTAGCTGTTAACAGTACTGCTCAACTGTTAGAAGTAAAGAATTGAAGGAAGATGTCAGCTGAAAACAAAAAGCTCCAAGGTGCGACAGCTCTGCCCATCCCACCGGGCCAGGCCCGGGGACGAGCGCGGCTCCCTTCGCCTGCAGTTCCGCCGCGCCGCCCGCAGAGGGCGCCGCCCGCAGGCGCTCGGGAGCGGCTCCGCTGCGCGGGATCGCCTCCGCTGCGCGGGATCGCCAGGAGCGGGACGGGCCCAGCGGGACGGCCTCCGCGCCCCGGGCCCCGCGCACCGGGACGGGACGGGCCCAGCGGGACGGGCCCCGCGCACCGGGACGGGACGGGCCCAGCGGGACGGGCCCCGCGCACCGGGACGGGACGGGCCCAGCGGGAGGATTTAACTACCGCCCTCTTTTTAAAAGGGAGCGTCAACACAAAGTGGAAAGCAGCTTGCAGGTAGTAACCAGCACAGTTACTGCTCAGAGGCAGAGATAGTACATCTCTGAGATGTACTACTGAGTTCTGAGTGAGAACTTCTTCCAAGTGAAAAGCTCCTCTTCTGTCCTACCCATACTGCTCCCAGATCCCGAGAAAATAACCGCGATGACTTCCTCAAAGAGGTCCTCTGACACCACAAGGTCACAACTAAAGTCACAGTGCACATATCTGGAAAGAGGTCACCGTGTTTCAAGGAGTAGTGCATTCACTGAGGAAGAGGCACATAACAACATCAAACGTCTTTCTTTTGTATCTTTGTTTCCAAAGTGGCCTAATATGGAAGTGTTTCTTTAAGAAAAAGAACTGGGACCTAAACTGAAGAAAGACAAAAACAGAACAACTCTAATTAAAAAGAGGATTTTTCTATTCTTTGTCATGGCAGCTAATCTCTCTTTTGTTGCTCTGGTCATTAAGTATACAAAGAAAAGGTTAGAAAAATAACTCTAAATAGGGAGGTTAAAAGAATAAGCTCTAAGAAAAACACATCTAAGTATTATCTTAGCCAACATAATTACTCAGGAAGGAGAAGTCCTTTTAAGACTACAAAGTTGAAACCAAGAAAGCAGAAGATAAGTTCCCTAAAAACTCTGTATGAAACAAAAAATAATCATTGGTCAAAAGCAATTACTCCAAAAACAAGTACAGAATTAAAAAAACACCACACCTAGACTTGAAACTAGAGTTTTGATCCCAGAAGTACTATAACAGCATACACATATATGCTGTTAAAAAGAAAAAGGAAAAAGGAAAAAAAAAGAAAGAAAAAAAAGAGAGAAAAGTAAGTTAAAATATCGATGCTGCAAGACTCAGAACAAACAAGCACTTGCATACTTTCAAGAATGCCACTGGAAAGGTAAAATTAACCACACTCACTAACAGCAGCAGGAACCACTCTCATGATGTTTATATTTTGTTCTGGGTGAAGGCTCAAATTTATGATTTTCAGTTTAATCAGCTTAAAATAGACTCTGACAAGTTTAAGAACAATTAGTAACATCTCCTGGCCAGGTATTACTCTCACCCTTGAGCATCTATTCCTCAAACAGTGTTATTTCCTTCATATTTACACCTTCAAAGGAAAAATCAGCAAAAGTTCCAACTTCAGCCTTTTAGTGCATTTCCTCACATCAATTTGCTACAAGATTTGTTGCAGCTATTGCAGTGTCACACATACTGACTAAATTATGATGGCAGATGTGCTTTTAAATGGCAACATACCATGATTCAGGTATGACTGCCTACCCTACAGAAATGGCTTCTAAAGATGCTATAAAGTAAAATAAAACATGTTTAATAATATTAACAATAAAACATGACAAGAACAACGTAGGACACAGCCAGGAAAGTATTATCAAGTATATCTTAAATAACCTACACATTCTATCAAAAAAAGTTACTCCAGCTGAAAACAAAAGTGTAGCTATCTACTGCAAAGTAAACTCTGCAAAGCCAAGACAGAATTTCCAAGGCATCACTTCATTGTAGCAGGACTAAATAAAGAGGTGCAGACAGCTTCGTGTTGGCTTCAGCACTTCCAAGGAGGCGAGGCGTGAGGCAGGTCTGCTCCAAGCCACGTTGGAAAGGTTTCCATGCAACTGTACCCAGGAGAACACGTGCTGCCTCTGCAAAGGGCTTCTCTGCACTGGCACAGCTGTCAACTAACACCATCCAT